CCCCAAAACCCCAAAACCCCAAAACCCCAAAACCCCAAAACCCCAAAACCCCAACATGTTGGATAATAATTGAACTTCTCTAGTTATAATTTAAGAGGGAGATTCTACCGTTGAGGAAGGCTATCAACCAAGGGTTTCAGCTGGTAAACCCCTTGGTGGCTTTTAATTGCTTACTGTAGAGCAACCTTGACCAGCCTCAAGTGGTCTTAAAATGAGTTTTAGAAGATTAAACATCACCAATTTCTTAAGAAACTATTCTTTTATGTCGAAATTCTGCTAAGAAAATTGCTGATTTTCGATTTTGGAATATTCTCTAAGTCAATTCATCAAGCAAAGAGTGTCTTGAAGAGGTAGACTAATAAACAGATTCAGAAAATTTTGGCACAGTATTACTATACTAATCACTTATGTTTCGCAATATTTTATGGTATCGAATCGGAACTAGATAAGAGTAAAAACTCCGCTTTGCACGATTCTAACACTCCTTTTATCTCATATTTATGAGGAATCTTTCGATCGGTGTACAAAGTTTTCCGAGTTTTTTCTCGTAAATTTATTACCTTTTAATGATGTTAAGGAAAAATTGACAAATAGTACTATAAGCTATGCCAATGAGATAACTATGAATTTTCCATGCTCAACTATAAATCATCCTTCCTGGTTAGTGGAGACGATTATATCAAAGCATGAGTGGTTATATCTGGACTGAGAATACGGAAGGTAACTTCGATGATTGCTTATTTGTACACTACCAGATATGCTCATGCCTCACCACTTTACTTAGACACATGTTTAAAATCAAGGAGTTTTAGTTTAATATTATTCGAAGTTCTTCCTGTTATATTTTAGTACATTTATTAGGATGATCCAAGTTCAGGACCTGCAAATTCCTACCGCTAGGTTTTAACACTCAGTAGATTTCAATAAGCTATTTCTCAAATTTCTTAAAACTTCTGGGGTAGGAAATACGGTATGGAAAACTTTTAGAAGTTGGGAAGAGAAAATTATAATTAAGTTAAATAACTTCGAATGCATGACACTAGCACAGGTCTGTGCTATGGTTTAGCTTCTGTTTGTATTTCATCGAGTAAATATTTCCGGACCCTTTCCACCTTTTTGCAATAATTTGAATTCAAAGGATCATGGCTATTGCTAGCCTCTCGGATGCTTGCTAAAGAGCCTTCTGAATCTTGCACTCAGTTCTGAATTTTTAAGTACGCCTCATGGTATAAGTTGTCAGGAGACATTTCGGATTGGCTGACCGATGGGGAACTTTGCTCACTGCTGCTCGACTCTTGGATACACTCTTGTTTATTTTCCTCCCCTTGGAAGCTACCTTTGCTTTCCTCTAATGATATTTTGGAGAAAATGGAGTAAAAGTCTTCCTCTACCTCATTAAAATAAGGGGTGATATCAATATCGCCGTTGAGATTGGAGAATTTCTGCATATTACTTCTAGCTCTATCTTTGTTATCATTCAGGATAAATGAGTTCATTCCTTCTTGATAGTTTCTGATACCTTTCTTAGAGTTGATACTTGCGTACCTGGTCTTGAAGTCAACTTCATTGATCGAAGGTTTGTCTACTCATTTATTTATATTGTGAGGAGGCTGAATTCGATTAATTTTTAAGTAATCTCGATATTTATGAGCTGATGGACCTCTGGAGCTTTTCATGAGGAAATCTTTCGCCTCATTGGGCTTCTGTGAAATAATCCTCTTTTAGTACTTTGGTGCTTTCGGCCCATAATTCGTGTTTTGTTGAGGTTCAATCAGTCAAGATTTTCATGAAGTAATATTGAGAATAGTGTTCCACATTGTTTTAGATAATTATTATATAACTTTTGAAAATTTTCAACTATGGTTTAGTGAACTGGGGTTTTGGGGTTTTGGGGTTTTGGGGTTTTGGGG